TTCTTTTTTGTAATATTTGCTTGTTTTAAGCTTGCTTTATGTCATGCCATTTTTAATGATTGTAACAAAAAAAACCATATTACGTTCTTGAGTTCAAAACAAGTAAAAAACAAGTTATTAAAAAAAAAATTAAGGTTAGTTACTGGTATAATGAATAATAAATATAATTTTTTAAGTTTTTTTAAAAAAAAAAAAAAAAGTAAACTGCTTTTAAGCTTTACAAAAGCAAATTATTAATTTTATATAGTTTAAACACATTTATTTTATATATAATACCCTGGCTCAACTCTCTTACATGATTTTTGTTAAAGGAAAATTTGCAACCAGTTAGTACATTATTATCTTAGTAAATTAGTAAGAGAAATATCCTGCTTTTTTTATTATGTATAAATCTATATTGGCAAAGTATTTTAATAGCTTTTAAGCATAACTGAGATATTACTCTTTAATAACAATCTGGGTAGTTACTACAGCAATTTATAAGTTATTTATAATTTAAAAACACATTTCAACAGCTAAATTTACAATTAGTAAATTTAAAAGTTTAGACTATCAATATGAAAACCTCTGAATATTATTATTTTGAATTGTTTATGAAATAAATAAAGGAGTAAATAGAATCTTGATCAATTTCAAATGATTGAATTGATTCTGATTATTTTTGTATTTTTGTATTTATTATTGATTCTGCTTATTTTGTGATCTATACATATTGTATGCCTCTATTGTGCAATGTTTGGTGATGCCTATTTTAGCCTAAATATCTATATTAGTATTATTTAATTTTTAAGCTATATGTTTGCAAAGGGAATAGTTTACAATCCTCCTACTAGCACAATTAATATCTGTAATGAAACAAGCTTTCTTCATAAAACTAGAAAACTTATCATGGTCTACATAACAGTTTAAAGTCAGAAGCATTTATAAAAAAACAATTCATTTTTATTTTTTTTTTTGTATTAAAAAAGAAAAGAAAATTGAATTATATATTTGAATTATTAAATTAATATTATTTCATATAAGCTTAAACATATGAGCTAATTATATATTTTTTCATATAAGAGGTCAGAGTATTAATTAATAATATCTTGGGTCATTGTAATTAGTAGATTGATCTCAGACAGTCATATATTTTTGTTATCATTGTCTAAGATCAATCTACTAATATCCAATGACCCAAGAATTATTATTACTAATCATGGATTATGTATTCATGTAATATATTAACCAGTAATATCATTAAATAGATTATCACTACTACTAGTAGTTCATCTATAAGATTTCTTTATATACTTCCCAAACAATAATCCCAATTATTGTACTTTCTGATTATTGTACCTCCTCTCTAAACAATATACCCTCTAGGTATAATTCAAGTTTTTTGATTAGTAGAATATAACATACCTGGGTTATTTCTATAGCCATTTACAGTAGTTAACAAAGAGGCACTTTGGGCCTTACAGTTAGATAACATGCTTTGAAATGTGTAATGGCCTGACAGATGTACAACAAAGAAGGTTACATGTCAGGTTAGATGGCACCAAGGTGTATAGAAGCCTCAGAGTTATTTGACTAGTGTAAGTATAAATAATCAGAATGTTTAAATAAGTAATCTCCTAGTAGATTATAAGAATGGCAATTAGTATAGAACCTTCAGGCAGACTACTTAAAATAGATAACCAATAGTTGTATGAGTGGCTAGTTATATACTCACATTGTACAAGTTATATATAATATATAATTAAAAATATACAATAAAGATGATAGCTACTGATAGACATCAGCCTTAATGAAAGCAAAAAAAAAAAAAAAAAAAATCAAATCTTTTTTTAATAATACCTAAAATTTTTCTAAAAGTATTAATAATTAGAACTAAATTATTAACAAATTGAAAAATAAATGGAAAAAAATTTTATATTTATTTACAATTATCTTGAGATGCTTAAAGATAATACTCATATTTGTAAAGTTTGTAATAAAGATAAAGATATAAGTAAATGAAATCTGTTTACATTATTAATATCAATAACACATTATTTTAAACAAAAATATTCAAATACTTTTAAAGTATTTAGAAAATCTGCTGCAAAATTTGTTCATTCTTCTTCATATTTAATTACTAATAAGAAATATATAAAATTATTAGATCATAATCTATTGAAGTTTATTATTATTAATCAACAGTTTTTTTTTTCTTGGAAAAGAATTGCTTTGCTAAATTTGTTTTTGCTCTTAACCTATGTTACAAAATCTCCTATTATCAATACATATTTGAAAATATTAAAAAACTATATGAATTAGAAAAAATAAAAATAAAAGATCTTTTAAAAAATAAAAAAAGCAAATTAGTGGGATGGGGTTCTGTAGCCTAGTGGTCTAGGCGCCCTCCCTTCACAGACAAGGTCAACAGTTCAATTCCAGCTGGAGGCAAAACTCTGTAATTTATGAAAACATATGAATATATGCAAAGCCCTGTGGCTTAAGTCCATATAAATAGAAGATCAGTATATAAGGAAGTTCCTGGAAAGAAGTTTCCTAATATAGAGAGTTGGTGCTCAATGCAAGAGAAGCAGTAAACATACCAGAAATAAAAAGAAGGCACACTAGCAGATGATATAGTGAACATAAAAGGAAACTATGAGAAAAGAATGGACTTACTGAAATTCGAATACTTCTGGCATTAAAAACTGATTTAGTAGATATGGGTTATACTAAGTCAGATCTAAGTAGTAATCTTGATACCAGCTTAGTAAGCTTGCATCGAGGGTAAATTCAAAAGAATATGGATACTTAGTAATATCCAATAAGGTGGTACTTTGATATAAATAGAAACTAAGATAATCCTAATCCAAATGTCACTACAATAGTAATATAAGTATTGCAGATATATACATAAATAATATTGAAAATCAGAAAGTTTAAATAGGAGACTCACAGGCGGGTCTCAGGTATAGCATCTAGTGGGTAACCTGTGGGCAGAACCCTTTATTAGATAATGACTAAAGTTATATGTGTGACTAGTTGTACTTTCATTGATATACTATGTATATTATATGTAATCATATATTACTTAATAAACAACATGCAAACAAGATTGCTACTTTAAATAAATAAAAAAAAAGCAAATTAGTTCTTATTCTAGATATATGAACTTCATATACTCAGCAGTCCTTTTTTGGAGTTATTGTTTATTGGATCAATGTTAAGTGAACATTATGTATTATTCTTTTTAATTTTATCTTTTTATATAATGCTTATATCAGTAATTATCTTGAAAAAAAATCTTTAAATTTGTAAAAAACTTTGAAATTAAAAAAAAAATAATTAGGTTTACAGACAATAATGCATCTAATAACTAAATTTGTCTGCAGTATTTTCAACAACATATAAATTTTGAACTTATATATATACATTATGCAACATATATTTTAAATTTCATAATAAAAGAAGATTAAAAACTATATTCAAATTAGATAAAAAAAATATAACATCTGTGTAATAAAATTAAAAATTCGCTATTACTTTTAGAGAATATTAAAAAAAATATCTATCATCTTAGATTATTTATTACTTTATTCTGAGCTTAATATTAATACAAGATGAAATTCTACCTATCTTATATTTGAATAATTTGTTAAAATTAAGAATGTTATTAACAGTCTTGTACAATTATATCCTAATTTAAAAATTAAATATTTAAAACAAAAAGACTGAAATATAATTAAGGATGTATTAAATTTTCTTTGACCTTTTTATGAGATAACATTAATATTTTTAAATGCCTTATTATTTTTTTATAAGTCTTAATAATTAATTATTCAAGATCTTTTTGCTCATCTAAATTATTTTATTTTAAATAATAATACATATTATAAAATAACAAAAGAAATAAAAATAAAATTAGAAAATTACTGATCTCATCTTTTACAATCTTCTATAATTCTTGCATTCCTTAATCTATTAACTAAATTCAAAACCTTTAATGAAAAGAAATACCAGTTAACTATAAACCAGTTGAGAATTTTATATTCAATATATAATATTAATAAGATGATTATATCATCTAAACAAAAATGTTTATTAGATAGTTTTTGTAAATTAATTCAAACAAACAAAAATAAAAATAAAAATTTAAGAAATTTAATGAATGAAATAAGTACTTATCTTGCATTATTCTCAAAGCCAGATATGAGTCCATTAATGTAATGAAAGCACCATTCTTCTCATTTTTCAACTATAACTTCTGTTGCAATGGATTACTATGCACTTCAAGTTACAAATATTCTATATGAACATGCATTTTCCATTGTGAAACATACAATTAATCTTACATGAAACTGTCTACTTAAACAAACAACTAAAACTTTCTTGTGCATAAAAAATTGGTTAGAAGCTAGTGTTTTAGAATGAATAAAAACATGTATAATCAATATATATCGATATTACATATAACATATTATAGATATTATAAATAAAAATTACAAATAAAATTTAAAGTTGCTGATGTTTCACATGACATGGTGAGTTTGGTTCAAGTCGGACTCGGAACCGAGTCTATATTAAGACTCGACTCATGGAGTCGAGTCGAACCGAACCGAACTTTTAACATCCCTAATGATGCGCGATTATTACTATATCAGATATGAAATACACATGTGAACAAAATTTGATTTGTTAAATAAATAAGGGAACACAGTTTATTAATACAGCTAATGACCAGCATTAACCTTAACGACTAGCACTATAGTTAGAATATGACAAAATTGGGGAATTAGATCATGTGTATGCTTCAAAATTCTGTCATATACATAATTTGGCATATATTTGCCGATACGTGATAAATCTGATACATCTTTATGATCCACCGGAAATTTTTTATTTATATAAAATTGCTGGGGGGTTTTTTTTTTTTATGCTATCTATGCCGAAATAATATATATATAAATTATAAATTTACAATTAATTATACACCTTTACCAACTAATTTAATACGTACAAACTCATCGCATGTCAAGAAGGTATCCTTCTATAAATGTTTATAGTTGGTCACGTTGTGCACAATAAATGCATTTGCATAATGTCCAAAACCTACAAGGTTCGTTCGATGCTAATCTTCAACAATTTTTAGCTAATAACTTAAAATTGTATTGCTAAGATCTGATGAACTACCAATGGTGAAGGTTTATCCATAAACTATATCCCAATCTCAGAAATACTTATACATGCTGGCAAAACTAAAAATTTCAAAATTCCACCCAAATCCCAAATATAATAAAATTGTCCCAAATCCCATCCCAAATATAATAAAATTCGTCCCAAATCCCAAATCCCAGTAGTTTTGCCAGCAAGTACAGAAATACTACGTACTGTAATATTTCAAATTTTCAGACAATCTTATGCAATCTAACTCAATAAGAATTGCAGTTATATCAGGACGTAAATTTGGATCATCATTCCAAGCATCACAATAAAGATTAACAAAGTCAGCTGGACTCCCTTCAACTGGAGTTTCTCTTTCACCAGAGAGTACATGATGCATTATTCTTAAATCATGCATATTTTTAAAGGGAGGTTTTCCGCTTGACAATTCCCAAAAGAGCATACTAAGACTGTAAATATCTGAAGGTTTATCTCGTCTGTAATCTTGAATACGGAAACATTGTGGGTCTAAATATGCAAATATTCCACCATCAATGGATGCTGAATTACTTTTTGATGATCGAGATAAACCCAAGTCTGAGATCACTAGGCTGCCATTGTGCACCAATATGTTCTTATCATGCTAATTTAAGAATATTAGGAATGATTAAGTTTATTTATTATGCGTGTGATATTGCATAACAACGGACTAGAAAAGAAAACTTACAAGATCACGGTGGACAATGCCTTTTTTATGCAAATAATGAATTCCATTAGACATTTCCTTCGCCATTCTGATCTTAGTTGGCCAGTCCAATTTTAGAAAATTGTTCTTTAAATAATTCTGAAGATCCCCATTATTAGCAAATTCAAGAACCATATAGTATGTTTCGGTCAAAAGATCTGATTCACGTTAAATCCTAACGGTTAGATATTTGGTACAAGTCGTTTATATATTACATAAAATTAAATTACCTAGAGTGATTCCAAAGAATCGTACTACGTTATCCTGATTATTAACTTCAATAAAGTTTCTAATCTTTTGATTAATAATATATATTCATGTTAACCAATTAATATGAACACGTTATAAAAGGAAGAGGGTGTGTTATCGCGTGACATACTTAATATCAGTGACACGATTTGTCACGCAGATCATGTGAATAAATTTTTTCCTATGAAATTTAAGTGATCGACATATATATGAAAAATCTATTTTTCATAGTAAATTGCAACGGTAGCTTACTTTTAATCGGTAATTTCAGGGGTTTCGTAAAAGGAAACTGCACTCACGGGATGCAGTGAAACTGTTCGTAAAGATAAAATCTTTAAAATGTGCAAGTTTCAAGAGAGATAAATACAAAACCAAGAATAATCACGTCTGTAAAGTTGGCTTTTTGTTTCATATTATATATTACTTTGTACTAACAAAGTTTTCTATTCTGCCGTTTCAAAAAATCTTTTTTGCTTTCTCGAGCATATAAAACTTACAAAGGAAGATCCTACAGAATGCAATTTCAAGTTTTAGAAACTTAACGCCTATAATAACAGCAGAGACCGTTAATGTTACACATATATTAAAACTGGTGAGGGATTATATCCATCACAATTGAATCCAACATAAATAATTTAATTTGTGATTGATCACAGGCGAGAGGGATTCACTTTGGATCGGGCACTGTCTCTGCTGTAGCCTATAATACGTCGGAATTGAAAGGTAAAAAGGAGTTTCTATCAAATTTTTTGCATTAAAGGTTTTATTTAACTTTGATAAAAAAACATTAACGTTTATATGGCATAATAAATTTTTTATTTTTTAGTTTCAATCTTCCAACGAATATACAAATAAGTTTACTTAGTGAAATCAACCTTTTTTTTTTAAGTTACTCGATTTTTAAAAAAATTTGTATTTAGTTTTAGTAACTTTAATAAGAGAAATAAAAATTTTTTTAAAAAAAAAAATTATAATTGCGATATTAAAATAAGTGTTATTTTTTTGGCCTGCATCTTATGTCATCTTGATGTCAATGCATGCAATAAAGTACTTTTGACAGGAGTTTAGACCTTTGGGTTTCACGTTTCATCTCGTTATTCGTTGAAAGTTTCAACTTTTCGCTATTACTTTGTCTTTATGATGATGTGTTTGTGCTCACTATGTTACTGAAACCGACTCTAACTCCTATATCTAAGTCAATTTCCTTTGTTTAAAAAATTTCACTTTTCTTTATCTAAATTAAAGATAAATTGAAATGAAATCCACGATTTCCAAAGCATTCCATTAGATCGATTTTAAAAAATATATAATTCGCCTTTCGTCTAACCGTCTATTACTATAACTAAAAGCTTAATTACAATTCTAGTTAGTAGTAGCAATATACAAACGTTAGCTTATTAAAAATATCACATTAGTTATGGAAGAATACTTATATAAAATTTCTCCTGACCATGAAGAAACTTGTAGCGATTTTAGTCAAGGATCTGATATTAGTGCCGAACATGCCGTGATATATGAAGATGATCTCGCATATGATTTAGATTCGCAAGAAGAATTCAATGAAAGCAATAATAAATTCTTCAAAGGTGATGAATTCTCCGAAAGTGATAAATCATTCAAAGGCGATGAATTCCTCGGTAGTGATGAGATAGAAATGCTTGAAGAGTTTGAAAGGCCAATTCCTTTTGCTTCTAACTATGCTAAAGAATTAACACATTGTGTTGTTATTGATAATGATAATGATCTAAACACAATACAAAAGTGCAGCAACCTGGGAGATCGTAGTGTAGGACAACTTTCTGGTACATGGGAGATCAACTCTAGGGAAGTTGGAGATAATGTTTCAAATCTGGGTGTCTGTTTGCATCATCTTAACTATGACCAAAATTCTGTACATATAGTCGAATCAGAAAGACGTATAAAGGCAATGCGGCCAATTGAAGAAAGTGTTATTACCTCATGTTGCTGTTTATTCTGCAAAAAAATTAAATGTTTCGTTACAAGAGGTAAAACATGCATATTACACATATGGAAAGTGTGTGGACGCATAATTCAAGCGCCATGTCGTGGATTATTTGACTGCCCAGCTATTTCTGAATATGAAGGACTATCAGCTAGATCTCTTGATGATGATAACCCTCGTTTTATCTGTACAAGCTGCCTTGCAACTCACGGAGGTCATCTGCACATTCAACCAGGAAAAGGAAAACATTCGATTTCGTGTCTAGAACAAGGATGACATAATGCTGATGCAATAGTTTCTTTGATGTTTTTCAGTAAATGGATTGAACAGACCGCTGCATCTAACAATGAAACTGCAAAGGTTAATTTGTTAGCTAAGCTTGTCAAACTTCTTAATAATATTTCTGAGGACAAGCCTAAAACACGGAATACTACTTCAACCATGCCTACATCCCCCAGTCCTTTTTTAATAAAAATAGCACTTGAAATTAATAAAATTAATATTAATGAAGAATCTCAAGCAATGCAGTTAGAAGGTAATATGTGTAAAGACTTCAGAAAAATACTTGGGCATTCTGTAATCCAAGCACGAACTGAACTTAAAAATAGGTTGCCATTACTTGAAAAGCCAGAATCTCTAGATAATTATTATGTTGCTATGCCATCACTTCTTGTGAACTTCTTTGTTAGTTTAATTTCAGTTCTAAAAGAAAAAAAAAATAAAGTGTTAGCTAGAAAAAGAAGAGAGAGAAATCTATCTCTACCACAATTAGACGAAAAAAAAATTAAATTACATGCTCTTCTCTTCGTTTCAGTAATTCTTACCATTGCCTTTCCCCATTGGAAAATATGAGTTACACATGTTCTTTCCTCCCTTTGCAGGCGACCAAAGATGATAGGATCTTTACATAAACTTCTTCATGCAATTCATGTAGTATCATATGTTAGAGATCATGAAGTACATGTTCAAAAAAAAAGAATATCAGCAGCAGAACCTCGATCAAGACTCATTAAGCATCCAAATGTTCTGACCTTCAGAGTTATAGACAATATTGATATGAAAGATGCGACCTTTAATTATGATAATATTTATGATGTAACTCATGTTACTGCATATGCTACATTGCAGATGGTTTTTCAGTTTCAAAATTCGGGACCTGCTAATTTAAATGAAGAACCATTAGAAAGTCAGAACCTCTTTGGTATAAACTTTACCACAGAACAATGGCAAAGAAAAATAAATACAGTTTTTGATCAATTAATCAGTTGTGAACAGACATTCGATAGTGAGCATGTTGATACAGCTATTAGAGAATATGTTGACTCCGCACTGTTCGTAGCACCTCCAAATGTCATAATCCTTGAACCAGGAGAGGCACCAAACAAAAATGAACATGTACACCAGGCAGTAAATATGTTTCTAGATGATTTTGATTGCAGAGGGAATAGTACATTAAATTTAGCATGTGATGAAGCAATTTATCGTTGCATAACCCTAACCCTAACCCTAACCCTAACAAAAGATTATGTAAATGAACAGCAAACCGTGCACTGTATCCTAGGACAGTGGCATACTAACAAGGCGATGTGCAGTACATTGATTGCTGCCTTTTTAGGCTACAGCCTTTTTGAACTTGCTACATGTCTTGGTGTCAAGTTTCTTGACAAACTTGAGCAAATTGCTGATTATAAGGCAACATTCCGGGTACTTGAGCTTATCTGGACGACGGTTGAAGTTACGATTCACCTATATATTCAAGATAAAAATATTTCTATTAATGATATTCCTACAGAAAACAATAATCTTCTAAAAGTATAGTATAATTTTTATCAATAGGCAGAATACTTAAAATTGCACAAACTCAGCATCTGTATAGCGAATTTTGACCTCCAAATGTATAGCTTGATGGCATTTGCTCCTTTATTTCCTGTAACCGGAAAATTAAGGTATACCGAATCCGTAGCATGATTTTTGTCAGATCTTCAAAGAAACCCACAGTTTCTTCAAGCTCTTCAGATGGTGCCCTCAGTTAACTTGACCCAAAAAGGACATTATTTTGCTTTTGACGAAGCTCTAGAGACATTTGGGGTAAAATTCATAAAAGAAAACATGACAGGACGAGCAACTAATCCAGATAACTTGAAGCAAAATATTAAAGCAGTGCAGTCCGAACATGAATGACTCAACTTGTTAATTTCAGAATTTGCCGAAGATTATTCAGTAAGCAGAGGTTCACGGTCTGTCAAAAATCGTCAAGATGCACTTTGGAAATTAATTAATGAGCTCAGATTAGGATTTAACGGCACATGACCAGAGTCACATACCTTATTTGCAGAAACTACAACACAGTTAACAGACGATGGTTATCAATGAATGTTTACCTGCTATCAAATTGGAATTGAAAGAATGACTAGTATTGTTGAACAAGATATTCTTCATACTAGTCCTCAGGTGAAAACAGGACAAGGAAAATGTATATTAATACCTATGAAAGTGATAGAAATGAAACACAAAAGAGTAGATGTTGACCCTATAGCAGAAAGAGTAGAAGAAATAGTTAGTAATCCTGTACAAACTTCATCTTCATCAAAATGTGCAAGCCACAGACCTATAGCCAAAGAAGAGAAGCTCTTACAACAACTTGAAACATATAAAGACTCTGCCGAACTGCCTCAAGAAGTTGTCAATGATCTAGTGAGATCATTGTCTTCATATACTGATCATTGGACACCAAAGCAAATTAAAGATCGATGATATAATCAATATAAAAGATCAAAAAAATAGAAATAGCCCACAAAATTTTCATTGTATTTTTTTTTTTTATTCTAAAAAATTTATTAAAAATATATAATTTGTAAATTAATACAGTGTACGCCAATTCGTGTTTAAAAAAAAAAAATAATAATAATACAGTAATAAAAAAATTACTAATGAAATCATAGTTGAATTAGTAAATATTGCAATCTATATACTATAAAACAGTTTTCTTGATTTTACTTATAATGAACTACCCTTTCATGATAAAGGTTTGCAGAAAGCCCTCACCTGGGCACATCTAGTAAACCACTTTTCAAGTTAGGATTTTGCAAACTGAAGAATAATCTAGCTTACGAAGATGAAATGGTACCCATCTTTGAAGGTGCCGCATTTTATAAGGAGATGTTAATTTATTATGTTCTTTATACCATTAGATTCATAAAAACTCCAGCATTGTATTTGTTTTAAGGAACGTTGCCTATTATGACCAACACTTTAAATGAAATTTTTAAAAAAGTAATTGCGTCGATTTTTGTGATCAACGAAAATCATATGATAAAATTTTACATGTGACAAATCATGTTACTGATATGTGAACATACTTAACATTTAATACGTAACATACTTAGTATTGGTTTAAATCACGTGGTTATACACTGCCTTAGACTAAAAGTGTAAAAAGCTATACAAACTTCTCTAATAAACCCATCAAACAAATATAACAAATTTTTACTATCGTTAACATGTAAACTCTTTAGTACCATAGTATTTTTTATATCATTTGAATAGGCACTATATACAGTGCCAAACCCTCCTCTGCCAATTAATTTCCAGTTCTCAAAAGAATTGTAGTCAAATAATTTTATAAAATTTTTTTCAATACCAATTTCAAGCCAACTTATTCTTTTTTCATGGTGTTGATGTGGACAATCACTATAGTCAGACCATTCTTCAACAAGTTCTTTAGCTGTCTTGGTCATTTTTTGTAATTTGAGACGAATTTCATTCCACATTATACAATAAAATAAATGGTAATAATGACAAACCAACTAGAAAGTTTTAGAAATTTTTTTTTGAAAGTTTTATTGATTTTTTTTTAATATTTGTAATAGCATTTTGTGCTTTTATTTCAGGAGAATTGAACATTGCTAAAAATAGATAATTATAAATTGTTGACCAGAAACTTCTGGACATTTGTGGATATAAATTGTTGACTAGAAACTTCTGGACATTTCCTAATGGATTGGCAAAAAAATGTCATTAGAATTGATATTATTCGGCAATTTAATAATTCCGAAATGGTTTCTGGTCTTTGGACACATGATGTCATAAATGATCGAAAGTTCTGGATATTTTTTACATTAAATTTTCTATTTGTAATACCCTAGCCGTGCCAAAAAATAAAGTGTCAGGTCATGTGACTTCTAAAGCATCCGGTCTGATATCTAAAAATCAAACATTTCACGTTACATCAGATCTTGGATTTTGATTGGCAGGTGATCATTAAGAGTGTCGAAAATTACCTCGTTTTCGGCACACTAGAATACTTTATATTTGCAATAATGGTATGTGCACCGAAACAGGAGGAACTAGTGATTTAAGCCGGCTACGGCAGCCGCGACTAAGCCGGACTAGCCAGCTAACTGGATGGAGGAACCTGCAACATATAAAAAAATCATTTTACCATTCTGCTAGAACATGTTATGATTATAATCCTACACTGTTTTATTATAATCATAACATGTTTCACACTGGGTGAAGGATCGTGTAACATCAACGGTTCATCCTGTAGTGTGCCGCACAATAACTTATATATTACGTATACACTTTCAAAAATTAAAAATATGGTAGCATATACTCATATGACCGAAATTATTTTGGCTTGAGTCGAAACTAATATATATAGTAACTAGTTTCGAATAAGCCGAGATACTTCAGTTATATGTATAATGTAGCCTATTGCAATATTAAAAAAATTATTCTGTACTTCCAAAAACCTAAACCAGTATATTAGAAGGAATTCCGTAATAGTATCATGATCTTTGGTTGCAAATCATTAGATAGGAAACCTGGCACACCTAAAATCATTAGCATGCCATGCCATACTATAAGTATAATAAAAAATTATCTTTAGAATATTATATAAAGTTTTTTTAACCAATCAAATTACATAAATATAATTTTATATAATAAAGGCATGCCAAAATGAACTTTAGGCGCTTTAGTATGCCAATAATAAAGGTATTACGGTTTGTAGCTACTAACTGCCTTAACACAGTGTTATATACAAAAAAGTCAAACTTTTTAGCTTTTAAATAAATTTAATTTTGTTAATATTTTAATATTGTTTTAATATAATTTTTTATGCTAAAAATTGAACAATGTTAAACAAAACAAGATCAAAAAAGCTTAAATACTCAAATATACATTTTTTATTTGATTAAATTTTTTTTTTTCTTTTTAACAGTCTTATTGAGATTTTTCATATTTTTACATATTTCTAAACAATATTCTTAATATTTGAAGATTATTGAACCTTAACTTCTTTTATTCTGTACTTTTAAATTTTTTAAAAGTTTTATTAAACTTTATCAAGAACTGGCTATACATTCTAAGTTTATATAGTATTTATAAATATTAGACTTTCAGTCTTACATTATGTTATATAACTTCAGTTATTCTAAATTAGGTTCTTAATTTATATTTTACATTATATGTCTTTTCAATTGCAAATCATTTGTTATTTTTAAAAATAAGTTTATCTTTGAATGTTTTGGATTTTTAGTCTTATAGTGTTACAGTTTTTTATTTTAGAAATACATATTTACAATTGTTATTACTAGGATTTGAACTAGTAATTTTGCAATTTGTAATCTTAGAGTATAATCATTATGCTATTGTTATAGGTGAAAGCCTTCTTAATTTTCACATTATAATGATGACAGGGCACAGGGAATCCCTTACGGGTATATGCAGTGTCCAAGAGGGAAGTATAGCTTCTATTAGACGTTGTCAAGAAACTATACCCATCTCTAAGGCAGTTCAATAATTA